GCTTTAACTAAATGATTATCAATTGGTGTGTGTGTTTTATATGCTTAAAATGTACACAAATAATGTATCTTTCATTTAAAAAAATAATTACAAAAATTGGTTCAGAAATAAATGAATAGTTAAACTGTAAAATCGTACCAAATATTTTACATGTATTTTCAATGGGCACTCATTTTCAAATACATATGCTGAGGATTGTATATTTAGGCCTCAAACATTTTTAAAATTTATGTTACCGAGTGCATTGTAACAAAGGCTACTAGATCAAACGTGTTTATCAAATTAATTATGTAGTAAAGAAATTAGTTTTCGGGTATGTTTTTATTAATTAAAAATAATGATTAATTAAAACAATTTAAATGTTGAAAATAATATATGTAACAAAAATAAAAACATTTTTGTTTTTACCAAAAACTTAGTTTATATTTTTAAACCTGTGGTCTAAAAACAATATAAAATAAACAAATTTAAAATTAAATTTTATTATAATGTTATTTTTTATGAAATTAATTTTTTTAAATTTTTTAATGCTTGAGTGATTTATTACTATTTATTTTTTATTATGTCGTACACTATTAAAATATTTATTACTTTATGGTCACTATTGTTCTCAATTATAAACTGCGAAACATCAGAGTTTTTTAACGTTGTGCTTGATGACCAGAATTCAGCATCCTTAAATCCACCAAGGACAGATATTGGCGATATTCAGGGCTTTAAATACCCATTTGCATTTGCACAGGTTGGCCACTATTCTGGTGGTTGGACTAGACAGGTAGGCTAAGCACCTGTACTTTACTCTACTTAAAAAATAACTATAAATTCTTTGTTTAAAATTTTAATTAAAAAATATTTCATAACCACACAAAAACTGTAAATTAAACGTAGCATTGACTGTAAGACATCCTTTTGCGGGGTAATTAAATTAATGATTTATGCTCAGCTTGTAACTAATTATTTTACAATTACATAAACGCTAAAATTAAGTGTACCAGTATTATTTTATACTGAAATTATTTAATATTTAATGAAAATTTACTTTTGTACCAAATATAATTATTTTACTTTAATTATCTAAGTACATGAATTAAAATAAAATAAATCACAAAATCTGGTCACTCTATCCGATAGGTTAATGTAAAAGATTTTCCGATCGCCACCGAACTGGCCGGTGTCCAGATGAGACTTGTGAGGGGTGGGGTACGGGAGTTGCATTGGCACCCGGCGACCGAGTGGGCGTATGTCATGTCAGGCACCTGTCGTATAACTGCTATCGACGAAGGGGGAAAGGCGTTTGTTGAGGATGTCAGTGAATCGGACTTATGGCTATTTCCATCTGGTAGGCCTCACTCTATCCAAGGTAAGCCTAAAAATCTTATACATTGTTACAAATGAATAAATCTTTATATATGTTAAATTTAAATCACTATTAATTTAAATAATATAAGAAGTTTATAAAAAAAATTACCTGTTTATATAGTTATCAAAATTTCGACAAATTCACTAAAAATATTTTAATAACTATTATTATCAAGGTCTCGGTGATGATGGTTGTTTTTTCCTACTGGTGTTTAACGATGCTGCTTTTAGTGAGTCGGCTACATTTTTGCTAACTGACTGGATGAGTCACGTACCGCTCGAGGTGCTGGCTAAAAACTTCCAGGTCCCGAAATCGACATTCGCAAATTTACCCCAACAAGAACTTTACATGTTTGCCACTGAATTACCTCGACCATTGGAGGTTGACCAGCGTCAGGCTGCCCTAGGCACCGGGTTTATACCCGAATCATATGCGTTTTTCGCATCCCAAATGGAGCCTAACTATACCCGATTAGGTGGTGAGGTTAAGATTATAGATAAGCGTAACTTTCCAGTTACTAAAATAGCCGCCAGTATTGTGACCCTAAAACCCGGTGGACTCCGGGAACTCCATTGGCACCCGAATGGCGATGAATGGACCTATTTTGTTACAGGTACAAATATATTAGTTTAGTTAATAGTGATAGATTTTATTAAGTAATTGTAAATATTAAAATTCTATAAAATTAATAAAATTCGTTTCTAGGTTTCTAATAAATATAATCTGGGAACCAAATATACAGTGCTAATAGTTATTAAAACAAAATCATCTTATTAATTATACCTAGGTAAAGCACGAGTGGGTGTGTTCCAGGCGTCCCAATACCCGGCTGCTGCCAGAACTATGGACTTTCAAGAGGGAGACATTGGGTACATCAAGAAAGATAATCCTCATTACATCGAGAATACGGCTGATGTGGACCTCGTATTTCTAGAGGTGTTCGCCGCCGACTATTTCGAGGACATATCACTGGCCGAGTGGTTAGCCCACACGCCCTCCCGATTGGTTAACGAACATATCCGTACAGGAGAAGCCTTTATTAATTCAATTTATAAGTACGAGGCTGTCATACGACCTTTGTGATTTTTAAAACGTTACCAGATTAGCCTAATAAACTTATAATCTATATTGAGTAATTTGTAATTATGTTCATTACTTTGTTGTATTATTATTATTACATTATTTTTAATAAAATATTAAATTTCTTTAGAAATATAGAAACCAAAGGATTTTTAGTATTTGTTTTAGAAACTATAATGTTTTTAAAATATAAATACTATTATAATTATATGAATTTTCTTTAAATTTAATTGGCATCAACAGGTCGGCGATAATTTTTAATAAAGTTTAAAAATTATATTAATAATTTATAATAATTTAACTCATAAGCTGGAAAATGTGATTTAACTTTAAATAACTATAATGTCATTTCTATTCATTTTATAAACTAATATCTTTATTAATTATGTTAATAATGATTATTTAAATTGTAAATTATATTTTATAAATTTATAATATCATGTTATATTTTACAAAATATCAAGTTATATTTTATATTAATACAAATCTCACCTCCATTTTCATAAAAGTCAGACTAAAGTCTTAATATTAATCTTAGGTTATTTAAAAACACATTAACAAAAAACCAATCATACTTTTAAATAAGGTTTTAATATCCAAAAGTTAATTCAGTATTTTTAAAATTTAATTATACATCAGTTTTACGTATAATATGTTAATTAGGTCTTTAAAATTTTGTATCCCACCTGTTATTAATAAAATAATAATTAGGCCTAAAAGTTCAGTACTTTTTAAGCTTTGCATATTTAATGAGCCGTATTAAATTTAAAGTGTCTGGCAAATTTAATTGATTGGTTTAAAAAATGTAAATCATGTAAGGTTGTAGGTTTTGATTTTGCAATAAATATAAAATTAGTAACACTATATTTGTTAATAAAATTTATTTCCGTAATGTTTATGAATTTTCATAAGATTTATGTTGAATGTTGCAAACTATTAATTTTAACAAAAATTAAATCATATTCTAATAATAAAAACTTATTTAATGTACAGATTTTATATATTTTTAATTAAATATTCAAATAAATAGGGTAATTTTAATTTTGCATTTATTTTATTTTTAAATTTATTTTCGAATATATAGTCATTTTTAAATAATTTTATTATACTAGTGCGAGTATAATTATTCTAGTTTTATCATGGCATACTCAATAGTAATTTGTATACCATGGTTGCTAATGTTATTTTGTACCATGAACTGCGAAACATCCAGGCTAATTGTGGATCCTGTTTTGGATGCTCAAAATCGCAGTCTAATAAATTCATCAAGGGCAACGGGAACTATTGGTCAAAGATCACAGCTAATGAACCTGGTGTTGGAGGCTCAAAATCCAGATTCAGTAAATCCACCAGACACTGACATCGGTGAAATACAGGGATTTAAATACCCGATGGCATTTGCACACGTAGGCCACTATTCCGGTGGTTGGACACGACAGGTAGGTTAACCACACTTCATTTTAAATGTGACTGTACCAGGTTTCTTAAAAGCCTTTAATAAAAGTTAATGAATTTACTATACCTTTATCGGTCAATGCTAAAATATTCGTAAAATAAATTATTTGTTTCATTTAAATAATTAGTACCGGTAAAATGTCTATAAATCTGGTCACTCTATCCGATAGGTAAACGTGAATGACTTCCCTATTGCCGTGAATATGGCTGGCGTTCAGATGCGACTATTCAGTGGTGCCGTACGGGAGTTGCATTGGCACCCGGAAAACGAGTGGGCGTTTGTATTTTTTGGAACGTGCAGGGTCACTTTGGTCGATGAGGGAGGGTATGCTTATGTGGGTGATGTTACTGCGTCAGATTTGTGGTTTTTCCCGGCTGGTAGACCTCACTCTATTCAGGGTAAGTTACCGCAAAATCAGTAAAAAGGTTAGGTTAGCTAAGGTAAGGTAAGGTAAGGTAGGTTAGGATTGATACAAAATTATTTTATAACCTGCAAATATAAAATTATTATTATATATTTTATGAAATTAACTAAAATTAACGTATATTGTTAGTTCAATTAAAATTTAGATAAAATAATTTAATTAACTCTTTAAACATAGCATTAATTTTACTTTATTTAAGAAAATAAGTTATTTATTTTTTACAATTTTGTATTATTTTAACTATATACAATACAATACACAAATATGTTTATAAATACAATCCAGGTCTCGGTGATGATGGTTGCTTTTTCCTACTGGTATTTGACAGTGGTAATTTCAGCGAGGCCGATACATTTCTACTCACGGACTGGATGGGTCACGTACCGCTCAGTGTGCTATCTAAAAACTTCCAGGTCCCTGAATCAGTGTTCAAAAACTTGCCCACAACCGAGCTATACATGTTTGCCAGTGAATTACCCCGACCATTAAAGGTGGAACAACACGAGGTAGCCATAGGCACCGGATTGTTAAATGAATCAATAGCGTTTTATACAACACAAATGAAACCCAATTATACGCGATTGGGTGGTAACGTCAAAATTATTGACAATGCCAACTTTCCCATTACGACTATAGCGGCGGCCATTGTGACCCTAAAACCCGGTGGACTCCGGGAACTCCATTGGCATCCAAACGCCGATGAGTGGACTTATTTTGTTTCGGGTGAATTTTATAATAATTTTTATTTGCATTACTTGAGCATTGTAGTTATTATTTTTGTTCATAATTTACAGGCATGGCCCGAGTTGGTATGTTCGAAGCGGGTAATTACCCTGCTAATTCTCGCACAATGGACTTTCAAGAGGGAGACATTGGGTACATCCCGAAAGATAATCCCCATTATGTGGAGAATACGGGAGACTGTGACCTTATATTTCTAGAAGTGTTCCCCTCCCCCACCTTCCAGGACATATCACTGGCCGAGTGGTTAGCCCACACGCCCACTCGATTGGTCAACGAACACATACATACCGGGGAAGCCTTTATTAATGCAATCTATAATAAAGAGGCTGTTATTAGGCCCTTGTAACATTTTTATTATTTTACTTGTTACATTGGATGCTAAGTTTTAATTTAAATTATCTAAATTTCTATCCATCGTAGCCTTGATTCAATTGTAAAATTAAGTTAAATAAATTTGTAATAAATTCCCTAGGCCATTAAAAAAGTTATTTTATATCTCAATATATTTTGATTTGTCCACAGATTAAAAATTTATGTAATAAATATAGGAAATTTTAAAAATATTAAAGCTCTACAGTTTTTATAACATTTCTCCAATATTAATTTTTGAATACTGCATAAGTTATTTAAATTAATAGCACCATGAGTTTATAATGTATACTGGATAATATTTATATTTGTAATAAATTAATAATTAATTTTTAGTAATAAATAATTTTTTGTCACCGGATTAATTAGTTAAAATTTCAGCTTTAAAATAGTTTATATACGTATATTTGTTATTATTATAATTATAATTTTTCGTTTTAGGCACTATAATAAAAATTATCAAATTAATTAAAATTACGCAATTATAAAAAATAAATCCTGTTTCCCATCTAGATATAGATATAATTGTAAGTGTTAATGATTAAGTATTTTATTAAAATGTATACAATAAATAAACTATTTGTAAAAATGACTTATAAACGTAAAATGTACAAAATTATAAATTAATCACAAAATATCGATCAAAATTAAACTATAAGTGGAAAGGTAGATAAAATTAAATCGAAAAATAATTACCACTTAAGATAAAAACTTTAATATAAATTGAGTGTATATTCACTACGAGTGTATACTCATAACAAAGATATTTGTCACAAAAAATGTCTTTAAAAATTGTAACAATATTAGCACTGATAGGGTTGGGCACTGTGCACCTGTCGCCTAACCCACCCATTCATAAAGGCTGTGACCTCCCGAAAGAGGTCAGGGAGGATACGAACGTAGGAGACGAGACAAACTGCCTTAAGGACGGCTATTGTTGGAAGCCTGAGCCGGGTTCACCCAACTGCTACCGGCCCCATAATGATACCTCGGTCAAGGTGTACGTCCATATGATGCCCTGGTTCGAGACCAAGGAGACTAACCCGGATAAGGGAAAGTGGG